TTGTATAATAACTTTATTTGTATAATTCATTTATAAATTATTTATTTAATTATGTAATTATTTATATAATTATTTAATATTTCTTATATTTATATTATACATTTATATTGTATATTTATATTATATTTATTTATATATTAATTTATATTTATATATTTATTTATTTATATATTTATATTATGTATTTATATTATATATTTAATAATTATTTAATTATCTATATAATTAATTTATTTATAATTTATTTATTTGTATAATAACTTTTAACTCATTGTTTATAACTTAGGGATATATTGATTCATTAATTATTTTTCTTTTATTATTATACTAGCATAAAAGACGCCCTATCAAGCGGCATTTAAGCTAACTCCAGCGGAGGGATTTTAATTGGACATTCAGTTTGTTCAGGAGTTTGAGAGCCACGAAGTCTTTGCATTGGAAGCTCTCCTGGCCGCCGTTTGGTCTGATGTTTCATTTGCACAGGCCTTTCTTTTTCTCGTTGCAGCCTTGGCTCTTTTGATTGCAATTTGGACTTCTGTTGGCGTAGATTTCTTTTTGCAGGGCATACTGCTGCCGAACGCGATAGGCAACAATAGAACTCAAAATTGATCGCTGCATTTAAGTATTGCATTAATATTTAAGCTTCCCTTTTAACAGTTCAACAATAATTCTTTTGCCTCTACTTAATTTAAAGACAATTTTATGCACGTAGGTACTTACTTTCCGTACAAAAATTATTTTTATTTCATGGATGTCTTTCGCTGGATTTTATAATTAATTTCGATTATTCCCAAATTTATTTCCAAGTTATAAAAATTGTTAACGCACAAAAAAATTTGTCGCAAAAAATCACGTTAAAATATCGCCGAAAACAATCGCAGTAATGAAAACATAGGAATCCATAATTTCTGTTAGATGAGCTAATGAACGTTAATGAGTTGTGTCCCTTTATTTAAAAATATGTGACAGAGTGATACGCTGACATTTGCATTTATTATATATATAAGCTTGTGTTTACGTGTATATTCGTAGTTTGTTAATTTGTTTAGCCTTTAGTTAATTTGTTAATTTATTTTATATTTTGCTTATTCTTTTCTTTATTCTTCCTTTTTGGTCGGATTGAATATTTTATTTGTTTAGTTTAAAGTATTGGCTTTGTCTAAAGTATTTTACATTATCTGCATTGTATGTGGTGCATATATGCATTTTTCTTGGTGTTGTTTAAAAAAGATATTCGTTTTTAGTATTTGATTTTTAATTAACGTAGTAAAATCTTGTTTTCATGTTTGCATTTTGAGATAAGTTCTAATTGTTTATTTAATAATTTGTGTTGGTCTGGGTAGATTATTATAGCTATTTTCTTCTCCAGACAAAGTTTACAGTTTGGGAATTTATTGTCGTAGGCATATGTTGTTTTCCTTATTTCCATAATATTTTTGGTGTATTTTGGTTTTTGTGCTTGATTTCCATATATGTTTAAAATGTGTTGTGCTGCTCATGTATTTACTACTGGTAAAGTGTATTTTGTATGGGTAATTTTTCTGTTTCCACGGTCCTCCAATTTTACAATGGCTTGATATACTATATTGCTTTGCTAGCAATTGTCATTTAAAGGACATTTGTGCGTTGCTCTGTAGTTACATATGATTTTTTATCATTTTACCCTAAGCAAGACAATAAATCTACTAAGACGCAAGTGGGGTTACTGGGAATTATAGAATATGAAAAGAAAAACACTATTAATGATAAATAACAATAAAAAAAAACAGGAAATAAGAAAATAACGATTGACATTGTATTTAAATTTTTGAAGATCGAAGTTGCCTGGGAAGCAAGAAGCTAGAAGAGAGTTCCACAAGCGAGAAGAGCGTGAGAGGAAACATCTGGCATAAAACTTACGGTTGCATTTAGCCATTTCAACTGTAAAATGATGAGAGCTTGCCGCCAATCTAGAACTGTTCCCAAATTCATAAAATCTAGTTACCACAGATTCCAGATGATTTCCAGATTTCTAGAGGAAAGTTCATCAGAACAATTACCATGAAGACATTTATAGAAAAGGCCAAGGGAAGCGACGTTAAGGCGGTTGGGATGTGACAGAAGCCGAGAAGCCAGGTCAGGACAAATAACATTGCAGATTGTTCTTTGGATAAATAATCTCTAAATATGCAGCAGGAACACCAGACAATGTTCGAAGCATGAAGATAGATTCTGGAGAGAAAAATTGCCTAACACGCCACAGTGAACCATCTTTCCTAGCAGCAGACTTAGCAATTGATTCAATATAATCTTTCCACTTCAATTTGATTTGCGCGGGTGATTTATTGGTTATTTTTCTATTCTGCCTATTTATTATTTGTGTCGTGTTCTCTGTGCCATGGCAGTTGAGAGGGTGAGTCATTTTTTACAGCCAAAGAACCTTTTTCCGCTAAAAACTCGTTTTCTGGTTTTCTGGTTTTAAATAAACTGAAGTGGTTGGTTTAAATGCCATAGAAAAAGAATCAGTCAATTCATAAAAAAAATCAACTTCATTCAGTAAATATATGCCTTGAGTGGCTTTTAGGCCTTGTATTGGGTAAAAAATAGTAAAAATAAAAAGCCAGAATCGCGAAGTGGTGCAGAAAAGAAAACAAAACATCGGCTAATTGCTGATCGATTCGTACTTTATAAAATGGTAAATAATAAGTATTTCATTATAGTTTGTTCATATATTTTAATAATTTAGTAAATATTTATAAGTTTATGAATAAAAAATTGTTTTCATATTATTTCTTTATAAAATGGTAAATGATAAATATTGCATTTTAATTTTTAAAGTTTTAATGGTATGAGTTTTAGAATGTTGTAAATATAAAAATTTTCTTGTAAATAAACAATACAATCATTATCTGTCTATATTTCTGAGATGAGGTTTTATGTACACTATAGTCCAAATAATAGTCCGAATAATGTAAATAGTGTACATAATACCTCATCTCAGAAATATAGACAGATACTGAAGGGCCGAAACGTTGTAATAAATATGTCGAGAAAGATGAGGACAATAGTCCGAATAATGTAAATAGTGTACATAATACCTCATCTCAGAAATATAGACAGATATTGAAGGGACGAAACGTTGTAATAAATATGGTAACAAAGATGAGGACAATAGTCCGAATAATGTAAATAGTGTACATAATACCTCATCTCAGAAATATAGACAGAATTGAAAGGCCGAAATGTTATAATAAATATGGTGACAAAGATGAGGACAATAGTCCGAATAATGTAAATAGTGTACAATACAATCATGTTTAATATTTTTCTTGTCAATTCTCAAGTACAAAAAACTGTATCAATTTACTTTCATTATGTGTTTATATTTTATTCCAGTTCTAATTATCGCTTTTAAAACAATAAACATTGCCGAGGAGTGAAGGTAGTTAAAATAATAGCGGTGTCATCGGAAAAACCGTTGTTTTAATTCTACGTCTTATTGCGGGCACGTTTGTCCATGGTTGCCGAATATTTTCTGTATTATATTTGTAATGTTATGTGTATAGCCAAGTGGTTAGAACGTTCGCTTTCTGACCCCAAGATTCAGGTTCGGATCCCATAATACAGGTTAACCAATCAGAAGCTGCCATGATGACTAGCACGTAAGTCGTAAGTCATCGTGACCGAGAGTTTGAGTATAGTTGTGTTGTTCACTCTTGTGAACACACCAGACTTTACGCATTCTCCTAAGCCCCCCCCCTAGCATATTTGCAGTGTAGACAACAGAACAGACGTCTGTAATAAGGTGTGTTTAGCCACCCTGGATAAGAGGGATGCTGAAAAACGAGTACTAGCCAGCAATTACTAACGGTCGAATATTAAATCTGTAGTTAAATTTTCTGAATGTTCATGGAATATATATAGGTGTGTGTGTGTGTGTGTGTGTGTGTGTGTGTGTGTGTGTGTGTGCGTGTGTGTGTGTGTGTGTGTGTGCAATGCGTTAGGGTGCGCATGCGCGGTGGTTTTTGTATCTGGGATTGCATCGATGGTTCTAGAAAATGTAATTAACTACAAGCCCTCTGCCCGATCGCTGTCTCCTGTTTTCATTTTTCGGTTAATAAAAGAATGGCTTGTGGGAGTAAGTTTTACACGGGTGACGTGGCCCCTTAAAGGGGTGGGAGGAGCCAGGAGGGTGGAAGGAATCAGTGTCGGGGAGGAATAAGTAGGAAAGTATGGCAAGAGAATATTCGCGGCTTTTGAGGGTGAGGTTAACACCGCTCCCCTACTCTCGACCCCCACACACGTCACTCCCCCACCGCCAAAAGACAGCTAAAATATGGGTAGAATCGGGGGACTAGTGATAATGGGAAGGTTGTAGACATGAAGAGAAGAAAGAAAGAAAGAAAGAAAGAATGAATAAATGAAAAAGGGGTGATGAAAGAAGGAAAGAAAGAACCGAAAGAAAGATAAAATGAAAAAGGGTGGATAAAAGAAAGAAAGAAAGAATGTGTGAAAAAGAAGTGAAAGAAAGAAAAGTAAAAGAAAGAAAAAAGGAAAAAGCGAGAATAAAAGAAAGAAGAAAAGAAAAACGAAAGAACGATAAAATGAAAAAGGGAAAATAAAAGAAAGAAAGAAAGAATGTATGAAGAAGAGCGAAAGAAAGAAAAGTAAAAGGAAAATAAAAGGAAAGAAAAACAAAAGAACGATAAAATGAAAAATAGATTATAAAAGAAAGAAAGAAAGAAAGAAAGAAATATGAAAAAGAAGTAAAAGAAAGATAAAAGAAAAAAGTAATGATAAAAGAAAACGATTAGCATAACAATAAGGAAAAAGAGACATGAAAAGGGAGAAATTAAAATAAAAATATACGAAAATTGAAAAAATATGACTGAAAAAAGAAATAAATCACTAAAAATAATAAGACAATGAAAACAAGAAAAAAAAAAGAAAGAAAAAAGAAGGAAAGGGTAAGTAAAAATAAAAGAAAGACAGGTAGAAAAGGAGATAGAAAGAAAGAAAAATCATAGAAGAAAGATAAAATGAGAAAAGAAAAAAGAAAGAAATGGAAAATAAACGAAAAAATGAAAAAGGATGATAAAAGAAAGAAACAAACAAAGAAACAAAAATGTAAAAGGTGACAGAAGATAAAATCGGAGGACGGTGGGCTTGGAGACAGGCGGACAGGCGGGTAGGAAGGAAGGAAGGAAGGAAGGAAGGAAGGAAGGAAGGAAGGAAGGAAGGAAGGAAAGAAAGCAAGACGGAATGAAAGAAAAAAGCAAGGAAAAAAGGAAGGAATGGAGGAAAGAGCAGAAGAATGGAAAAAAATAGAAAAGATAGAGAGAGGGAATGGAAGGAAGGAACGAAAGAACGAAGGAATGAAGGATATTATTTATAAACAAAAGAAAATGAAGGAGATTATAAAAAAAAAGAGAATGGATGAAAAAAATGCCTTTCCCGCTTGGAAAGTTGCGGCAACACAATCTTCCTTCTTTCTTCTATTTGATCTTATACCATACGAAGCAGAAAATGTCAAACGGTTGAAATGAAGACACACACGTCTGCAAACAAGAAATTGAATAAAAACTGAATTTCGAATAAAGAAAGAAAGAAACGATGCGAAGGGGTTTGCTTCGTTGCGCTAAGGGGGTAGGGCCGAAAAAGGTGCGGTTAGTGTACGACAATGGGAACAAGAAAAAAGGGTGTGTGAACAGCTGACAGATGAGAAAATCACAGCGACAGAAGGTTAGGTCGAGAAAGATGGCGGCTGAGGAGAAATGCAGACGATATGAACAAAGACAATGCGAGAGAAAGTAAGCAGACAGAGAACAAAAGGAAGGTTTATTAGGGAAGAGAAGAAAGAACAGGGAGAGAAGCAAGATAAAAAAAGGGGGGCGAGAGACGGCAAACAAAAAGAATGGTAGATAGAAAGGGAAAGAAAGCAGAAAACAAAGACGAAACAAAAAATAAGAGAAAGGAATATTGGTATTTAGAAAAAATGAAAAAAGAAAGTTGACAGGAATATGCGTATCTAATGAAAGAATGAATGAAAGAAAAATAAGATGAGAGGAATATAGGTATGGAAGCATAGAATGAAATAAAGAAGAAAGAAAGATAGATAGAAAGGTAGATATGAACTTAAATAAATCAGGAGGAGGAAAGGAATAAATTTTGAAAGAAAGATGAATCATGAAATGAATATAGATATTAAAAGAAAGAAAGAAAGGAAAATATAAAAAGAATATAGGTATTTCAAGAAAGAAAGAAAGAAAGAAAGAAAGAAAGAAAGAAAGAAAGAAAGAAAGAGGGAAGGCTGAAAGAATATAGGTATTTCAAGAAAGAAAGAAACAAACAAACAAATAAACAAAAAACAAACAAGCAAACAAAGAGGGAAGGTTAAAAGGAATATAGGTATTTAAAGAAAGAAAGAAAGAAAGAAAGAAACAAACAAACAAACAAACAAACAAACAAACAAAAAAGACGGAAGCATAAAAGGAATATAGGTATTTAAGAAGAAAGAAAGAAAGAAAGAAAGAAAGAAAGAAAGAAAGAAGGCTGGACGGAATATACTTATTTAAAGAAATAAAGAAAGATAGAATGCTGGACGGAATATAAGTATTTAAAGAAAGAAAGAAAGAAAGAAAGAAAGAAAGAAAGAAAGAAAGAAAGAAAGGACTACTGAAAGCAATACAGGTATTTAAAGAAAGAAAGAAAGGAACAAACAAACAAACAAACAAAAAAGAAGGAAGGATAAAAGGAATATAGGTATTTAAGAAAGAAAGAAAGAAAGAAAGAAAGAAAGAAAGAAAGAAAGAAAGAAAGAAAGAAAGAAAGAAAGAAAAAGAAAGAAAGAAAGAAAAAAGAAATAAAGAAAAAAAAGAAAAAGGAAGAAAGAAAGGAAGAAAGAAAGGAAAAAGAAGGCTGAACGGAATGTAAGTATTTATACAAAGAAAGAAAGAGAGAGAGAAGGGTAAAAGGAATATAGGTATTTAAGAATGTAAGTATTGAAAGAAAGAAAGAAAGAAAGAAAGAAAGAAAGAAAGAAAAAGGAATACTGAAAGCAATACAGGTATTTAAAGAAAGAAAGAAAGAAGGAAAGAAGGGTGAAATGAATACAAGTTTTGAAAGAAAGAAAAAAAGGAAAGATAGAAAGATTAAGAATAAGAGATGAAAATACGATGCAGATAACGACATTATTACAAATAGAATGAAAAGCAAAAAGCCTGCGTCCAATGCAGGCTAAAAAGAATGTAAGAAAACATATACGTACATGTATAAAATAAAAAAGGAATGTTTTTATTTATTTTTTTGATGTCGAAAGACGAAAGACAAAAAAGGATATGTCGGTAACAAAACCGATACAAGAAAGAAAAAAAAGAAGGAAAATAAGAACAAATGGTCCCAAAAAAAATAAAAAGATAGTTTGTAACACCATCAGTGTAAGGAATAAGGGGAGGAGAGTAAGGCAAGAGTTGCACCTGGGTCGCTGTGTCCTGCGTTTATTGTGTCGCACATGCCCAGATCTTCGTTGGTTGGGTGAATTACCGCCTCATGTTCCATTGTCACCCCGTTTTATTAAAATTCTTCTAGTTTTGATTTTTACAGTACCGTTTCCTTTGCTTCCATCCCGTTTTAGAGTGTGAAATAAAATTCGCATCAGAATGATGCTATCTGTTTATAGCGGTTGGTAGCATAATCGTGATGTTTGTGTCACAGGCTCTAAACATCGTAGCCTTGTGCCAAGCAAAGATAAGTTTACTAAATAAAGGTACACTTTCTACTGGATTGATTTTATTTCTGAACGACCCAGGGATTTTTGTTTATCAAGCAAGGCGATAATGTTACTGGGACGTAAGGGATTACTGGGAGTAAAAGCGAACGAACAGACCTTAGAAGGAACCGGAAACCCAATTCTAAATAGGAAACAAGTATTAAACCTTTACTCCTGCACAAAAGAAGTAGTGTGAATCGGGCGATTAGGACTAAATCTCTCTAAAAACAATGGTTTAATTTTCTTATCGAAGTTAATAGCTAATTTTGTTAATTTAACGTAATATAAACTCTCGTTGGGCTGTGTAAGGTCAAACATATAAGTTTTGTATATCAAAAAGTTATATGTCCACCATTCTTTTCATCTGATCCCAAGCAAGGCGATAATGCCACTAAGATGCAAGGGTTACTGATAGTGAAGCAAAATAAGAAGAAAAGCAAAGACGATAAAAAAAAAACAGGGGATGGTGAGTGACATTTCATATAAATTTTTGAAGACCAAGTGCAACGAAGCAAGGAACAGGAAAGGAGTCCCGCAGAAGTGCGAAAAAAAAACCCTCTTAGAATAGAACCTGCGGTTACATCTAGCTATTTCAACAGTAAAATAATCAGATCGCGTTGCCAATCTTAAATTTATAATCACTTGCACAGTACACTTTATACAGTACACTTAAATTTATACAGTCGAGGTACCAAAGACGAAAGCTCATTAAAAGAATTGCCATGGAAAGACAGTCGGAAGCCACGTCATGCCGGTAGGAAAGTGAGTGGAGTCGAGCTGCCAGGTCAGAACCGGTTGCATTGCAGACGCTTCTTCGTATTTCGAAATATGTAACAGGAGTATCAGACCAAATGTAACGGTAATATATCAATGTATGGTAGATTTATAAACGTGCAAGATGGATTCTGGCTCAATATCATGAACCAACTTTCTCGAGTTAACAATTGATACAATATAACCATTGCACTAGAATAAAAAAAGTAAATATAAGTCTGGCTTTCACGTGTGTCAAAGTCAAAAACAGTTCCCGTTTGTACTAAAGTAGACATTAGTGAATTATATATATATATATATATATATATATATATATATATATATATATATGTGTGTGTGTGTGTGTGTGTGTGTGTGTGTGTGTGTGTGCAAATGTATTGAAAAATAGGAAAGAAGTGTTAGGTTAATAATACAAAGTTCTTTAGTATTTTTGTTTTTATTTTTTAAAAAAACAGTGCTCGATAGCCTAAATTATAATTATTTATTTTTTAAATTATGATTCCGTCGCTACATAGGAATTGCCATGTTTCAAAAACATAAGCTAAAAACTTCCAATTCAATTATAGAAATTAAATTAAATTAAAGTACCTAGTTCTGTTTCATTCTCAAGCGAATTTTGGAATAACTAATTTTGAAATTTACGGAGCATTATAAGCATATACATTCGTAATATTAGTTTTTATGTATATGGAGAGAACTAATCATTTTAATAAGGGGCGGTAGGGTATTCATTTTCACTGACAACTATTGTATCAACATATTAGTTACTTTCGAAAAGAGGTTAAGTCAAGGTAGAGTCGGGGTGCCTTTTTTTTTCAAACGAATGATGACATCTGTTCAACGCATATCGCCTGGTCTATTTCAACGACAGTTTTGGCACTTTTGTTACGCCGTTAAATTTGTATTTGTATGCATAAAGATTTCTTTTATACCATAAGGCGACATCAGTAGGAGACACCGAGCTATCCATCTTATTTACCGACAGATTACAACCTCTTTCGTTTTTCGTTGGTTTCTCGGCATTTCAACGTACCCATATTTGATCGAGTGCTCGCCAGGGAAAAGTGGATCCTGTATGACACTCCCAGCGTGCCAGACATTGGTTGTCACCACGGGACCCTGTCCTTCATATCACAAGACCACCTCTACACCTACGCAAGATTATGCTCTGTATCTGGTGGACTAATTGAGAAATGGTAGAGTATTAGCTACTACCAATGCGCCAAACCATCACTGCGGACCTGTACTCAGAGCAATTGGAACGTGTGCAATAGGCACTGAAACAGGAGGAACCGGCATTTTTTAATTGCAAGGGTGACCTGTTCTTCCATGAAAACGACAAGCCTCATGTGGCGCCGCTGGCCTGGGATACCATAAGATGACATGGCTGGGAAACACCGTGCTATCCACCATATTTACCGACAGATTACAACCTCTTCTATTCCCTGGACAACCACCTTCGTGGGAAACCGTTCATAGACTTGCGACAGGCAGTTACAGACTTTTTTGCGCCCGTGTGATAGAAATTTCACCTGCTTCTTTCTGATTGTAAGTAAATCATTTGTAACACGTTTATAAAGCAAATACTTTGGAATGCATTTTTATAGTAAATAATTTATAACGCAATTTTATAATCAATGAACGTTGAAGCTGGTTAATTCTTAGATGAGCGAGCGCCATGAAATAAGTTAAGCAACGTTGAAACAGGTTAATTCTTAGATGAGCGAGCGCTTTGAAATAAGTTAAGCAACGTTGAAACTGGTTAATTCTTAGATGAGCGAGCGCTTTGAAATAAGTTAAGCAACGTTGAAACTGGTTAATTCTTAGATGAGCGAGCGCTTTGAAATAAGTTAAGCAACGTTGAAGCTGGTTAATTTTTAAACGAGCGAGCACTTACAGTAAACCATTTGTAATTCATTTTTTTTATAGTAAATCATTTGTTACACGTTTGTAAAGCAAATACTTTGGAATGCATTTTTATAGGAAATAATTTATAACGCAATTCTATAATCATTTGTAACATATTTTCATAGTAAATAATTTGTAACGCATTTTGATAGTAAACAATTTGTACCCCATTTCTATAAATTATTTCCAACGCATTTTTATAGCAAATAATTTCTAATGCATTTTTACAGTAAATCTTCTGGGCAGTATTTCTATGAAAACCGTTAGTAACATATTTCTATAATAAATCATTTGTAACGCTTTAGTAGAGCAAATAATTTCGAATAAATCATTAGTAACGTATTTTTATCGTAAATCATTTGTAACTCATTTCTATAATAAATTATTTGTAACGTATTTCTGTAGTAAATCATTTGTAATGTAATCAATGCCTTTCTATAGCAAATACTGCAGGACATGGCTCTCCACAACTCATTATATCTTGTGGCGCTTAGCAGTTTTCTCCCTTTGATAAATATCCCTTCCCGCCATTTATTCACACATATTCACCCGGTAAGTGACTCTCTAGCTACCCCTATCTCTCTTACCCTCAATGTTCTTCTTGAAGGTCAAGTTTCCAAGTCCCTCTTTTTGCGTTCCAAGAATTTTGGTTGACTTTTCCTGATTTCTGAATAGAACGTTTCTTTCTGTTAAGTTTGTCTCTTTATTTTTTTATATTTTTACTTTTATATATTGCTAGAAATTTCACCTGTTACTTTCTGATTGTAAGTTTTCTCTTTGTTTTTTTGTTTTTTTCATTGAGCATCCTTCTGTAGAACTGCATCCGTTTCTCAATGTCCCCTCTTCATCCGCGACAATAGTATAGCATATTTGATGAGAAATAAGCCACTTTAATTTACAAGCAATGAAACGCAATTTTCCACGGCCATAAAACTGCGAACTGCCATGTTTGCGCAATGATAGCAACCCGTTACGCAAATATCAGTATCTGCCGTCGAAAAGAAATATTTTACCGGCCGCCCATCAATATATTACGCTCTGATTTATCAATACATAAAACTCGTCATCGAACCTGGCCAATTATCTCGTTACTGATTGTTGCCATCTCATTGTGAACATTAGAAACAGTTTATGTAAAGGACGAATTTGACGGCGTATGAGAAACCCCACCCCATGCATTTAAGCGGACACCTAAAGAATATCCCAAAAAGAAATATCGCTCGGATGTAATATGTACAGTTACGGTATGCTAAAGATAAATTGTGTTACTAAGACAGTGGGTAACCATGACCTAAAAGCGTAAAACAATTAAAGATTAATTTGAATTTCAATTCGTATTCAAATAACCTTGTCACTTGGTCGATTTATCAACAAATTGAACATTATCTATCTATCTATCTATCGCAGTCTGTTAATATCTATCTATCTATCTATCTATCTATCTATCTATCTATCTATCTATCTATCTTTTATTTAAACTCTCCTTGGGTGTTGCCAGGAACTTAAAACAAAAAATAAATCATTCGACATCTATCTCTGACTCTCCTTTCTCTCTTTTTCCTCCCTTCCTTCCTCTCCCTCTGATTCTCCTTTTTTTCCTACCCTATTCATATGTTCTCTCTCTCTCTCTCTCTCTATATATATATATATATATATATATATATATATATATATACGGATTAAATAATATTTTCTATCTATCTAGCTAGCTATTCATCTATCGCAGTCTGTTAATATCTATCTATCTATCTCAGTCTGATCATATTTATCTATCGAGCTCGGATAGTTTATATCACATTAGCCTGGTCATAATCTATCTATCTATCTATCTATCTATCACAGTTAATTATCTATTTATCTATTTATCGATCGATCGATCTATCTATTCATATTTATCTACTTTGTTAGGTAGCTAGCTCAGTCAGTTTATACCTTAGCCTGGTCATAATCTATCTATCTATCTATCTATCTATCTATCTATCTATCTATCTATCTATCTATCTATCACATTTAATTCTTACACACACACACACACACACACACATATATATATATATATATATATATATATGATAATATTATTTGGTAATCCGTATGGATAATTCCAAAGAGGATATAGATCCAGAGAGAGCTCTCGCTTTTAAATATGTGCCTGGTAAAATTTTAAATCCATTCATTGTTGAAAAAGTTAGGTCTGATGAGACGAAACCGAAGAATCAATTTTGCGAAATAAAATATTACTATGTGTTTCTAAAGTCCCCTGCTTTCATAATTATATATATAATTATATATATATATATATATATATATATATATATATATATATTGACATCCAAATGCAGACTGTTTTTGCTGTATCACAGCTCTTCAGTGTGGCTAGATATCCGATTGCTTCAAACCGGGATCGAATCCTGTCCGATCTGACATCAGTCAGATATCCTACGCCTAGTCTATTGTCGCACGTCAGAGAGGGGAAATTTTAACGTTTTTCTATACGAAATACGCCAGTGGAACGGAGAACTCAATTCGTATTTGAAGAGTAATGCATTAATAGCAGTAGGAGTAGCTTTCTCTGGAGAGCTCAATCGGATTTCCCGGGAGCATATATATTGTCATCCACAAACAGACTGTTTCGCTGCGTCACAGCTCTTCAACGTGGCTAGACGTCCGATTGCTTCAAACCGGGATCGAATCCCGACCGATTTGACATCAGTCAGAAATCCTAACCCTACGCTATCGTATATATATATATATATATATATATATATATATATATATATATATATATGCATGTGTGTGTGTGTGTTTGTGTGTGTCTGTGTGTGTGTATGTGTCTAACATTCGTTTATATCAGTCTTTCTAACACACTTGATCAATTTTTGGCTTAATTTATTTCTACCCTGTTATGGGATCTTACCGATAATAATAATAATGGACTATTCCATACTTAATAAATACTGCGCCTCAGGAGTAGGCAAGGAGTCAGTAGTTCAAATCGAGTCAAGAGTCGAGTCAGAGGCAGTCCGAAACAGAGTCGCGTTCAGACAATTACTGCAAGACATTGGAATAGTGATACTGGTCGAGACTACATTGATCTCTCTACTAAAACTGATTGTCCGTACTAACACTTTCTACTTCTCTGTATATATTCCTGTTTGTAATATATCTGTGTTATTACAAACCTGTGTTCGAGTTCTTCTTTATTGGTTCTACCTTGGACTATCACCGTGGTACAAGGAACCGGACCATAACATACCTCAGGGTCACTTCATTGGCCTCCTACCCTCTCACTCAATAATGATAATAATAATATTTTAGAGTCACAATATTTTGTTCATGTCTTACAGATCAGGTTTTCCTTCCTTTAATAGCTACCTGAAGATGATATTAGTGTCCGTTGTGTTTGGGGCCCTGGAGACAGACCGGAAGAGACAAGCGAAATCCCTGGATAAAATGGACATCCAGAAAATAATCGAGATTCCCCTGACAATAGCACTACTAATGTTAGTTAAAGTACATGATAATCCTGACTACTAGTGCGACGTACCAACGTGTTTACATAATAATAATAATAATAATAATAATAAACATTTGCTGATAAATTATATTACAATCTGAAATGATACTTACAGACTCCATATAAATGGAAAAGAAGGAAGAATATCGATTCAGCATAGCCGGCTCTTGCAAAATATGCCAAGCGTCCCAGAGAAAGAATCATGGTAATGGCGAAGCAAGTGATAAAAGAGCAAGAAATATCGAAGGAATGAGAAATGCAAGATGGAAAAAAAATGAGAAAAAATTTTTTATCACGGATAAATAAGCGTTGAGGACACTTAAAAAGAGAAAAAAAAAACCTCTTGTCATTGTAATCCAAAGCAGATGACTGAGACTAAAGTACTACACTAAAGTAAAAAAACAAAACAAAACAAAAAAAACTAAACAATGAAAAGAAGTAAATACTACTTCAACGGAATCGAATCACCCCTATTTCCCCCATGTTCCAAATATATGAAGCAAGTTCCACTCAGACAGAAGCTCCTAAGAACTGTTACTTTATGGAGAGACTCTCATGTGGGTGCTACAATCTTAAACTCTTTAAGTCAGGGGCTAAAGGCTATCATCCTCATAATCTTAAATTCCTCCCACATCCTCTTTCATTAATATCTCACAACTCATGCATCATCACTATTTTATCCGTAACTTTCTACTTTGAGTGCCTCTCGGAACTTGTATTGGGTGAATATTAGTTGTGAGTTCAATCCCTAGCCACAGCAGAGAAAACAAATGCGTGGGGAGCTGAGTTATTAAGGGGGATTTACTGAAACTGAGATATCCAAAGGCGTGTCACGTGGAATTGCGGCAATCTGCCACCGGGGATCTAAATGATTCCAAGTAATATCACTTGAAGAAGGCTGGGGCGTACAGCGGCCGAAACGTCGTGAATATGGCAATAAAAATGAGAATAACAGACCGATCAATGTAAATAATGCAAACAGTGAATATTAGTATAAAAATAGAGGATAAAAGAAAGAAAGAAAGAAAGAAAGAAACAAACAAACAAACAAAGAAGAAAGAAAGACAGAAAAAGAAAATATGAAAGAAGAAAGAAGAAAAAAGAAAAAAGAGAGAAAGAAAAAAGAAAGAAAGAAAAAGAAAGACAAAAAAGAAAGAAAAAAGAAAGAAAGAAAAGAGGAAGAAAAAGAAAGAAAGAAAAAAGAAAAAGAGAAGAAAGACAAAAAAGAAAGTAGGAACGAAGAAAGAAGAAAAAAGAAAAACGATAGAAAGAAAAAGAAAGAAAGAAAGAAAGAAAGAAAAAAAAAGAAAGAAAAAAGAATGAAAAATAAAGAAAAACAAAGAAAAAACAAAGAAAAAGAAAGAAGAAAGAAAGACAAAGAAAGTAAGAAAGAGAGAAGAAAAAAGAAAAAAGAGAAAAAGAAAGAAAGAAAAACAAAAAGAAAGAAATAAAAATAAACAAAAAGAAAGAAAAAGAAAGAAATAAGAAAAAAGAATAACAAAGAAAGTAGGAAAGAAGAAAGAAGAAAAAGTGTGAAAGACAAAAGAAAGAAAGAAAAAGAAAGTAAGAAAAATGAAAGAAAAACAAGGAAACAAAAAAGAAAGAAAAAGAAAGAAAGAAAAAAGAAGAAAAACAGAAAAAGAAAGTAGGAAAGAAGAAAGAAGAAAAAAGAAGAAAGATAGTAAGAAAAAGGAAGAAAAAGAAAGACAAAGAAAGTAGTAAAGAAGAAAGAAGAAAAAGAGAGAAAGAAACAAGAAAGAAAAGAGAAAGAAAGAAAGACAAAAAAGAAAGAAAGAGAAAAAAGAAAGAAAATGAAAAAAGAAAGAAAAACGAAATAAAAAGAAGAAAAGAAGAAAGAAAAAGAAAGTAGGAAAGAACAAAGAAGAAAAAGAAAGAAAGAAAGAAAAACAAAGAAAGAAAAATGAAAGAAAAACAATGAAAAAAAAGAAAGAAAAAGAAAGAAAAAAAAGAATGACAGGAAAAGAAAGAAGAAAGAAGAAAAAAGATAGAAAAAAGAAAGAAAAAGAAAGAAAAAGAAAAAAGACAAAGAAAGTAGTAAAGAAGAAAGAAGAAAAAGAAAAAGAGGGAAAGAAACAAGAATGAAAAAGAAAGAAAAAGAAAGTAGGAAAGAACAAAGAAGAAAAAGAAAGAAAGAAAGAAAGAAAGAAAGACAAAAAATAAAGAAAGAAAAAATAAAGAAAATGAAAGAAAGAAAAAAGAAAGAAAAAGAAAGTAAGAAAGAACAAAGAAAAAGAAAAAAGAGAGAAAGAAACAAGAAAGAAAGAAAGAAAGAATGAAAGAAAGAAAAAAGAAAGAAAAAAGAAAGAAAGAAAAAGCAGTATAAATGTATAGTTTCAAGGCGTAACTGATTCCAGCTTAGGCGGCTCAGAAGTTGGAGAAGAGATATTCCACTCGAATCCTATAGAGTAGGCCTTGAAAGGGAGACAAAACCCAAAAGGAAGAGAAAGTGTAAAAAAAGTCAAGAAAAAGAAGAAAAAACAAAAGAAAGGGAGAATAGAAAGGGTGTAGAAAAGGAGAGAAAGAGTGACGAGTAGTGAGTTCGAGGCTTAACTCGGCGTCCTACACTTGAAAAAAATCAAGGCATCCTTGTAAAACAAAAAAAAACATCTCTGCACTTTTCTCTTTACTAATTTTCTACTTGAGTATTTGCTTTTCTTTATTTGATTTTCGTTTCGTCTGCCGTACTTTGTCCATTTCACCTTTTTAACTGACCTTCTATTTTCACTATGAATTCGTTTTTCGCTTTTACCATAATCGGCAGTTTCAGCGAGACGGAAGTGTTTTACTGCTTTTCGTTCGACCGAATTTGGGGAAGAATTGCTAAACAAATTTCCAGCAGATTCGCGAATACCTCTCCCCTACTTTCACATTTGGTGGTAAGAAGTAAGTCAGGACAGAAAGAGAGAGGGGGGAGTGGAGGGGGTGGAGGGGGAGAGAGAGAGCAACAATTACCGATGTCAGGGCAAGAATTTGGTCGGTTTCCAAAATAAATTGGTTGTTTTTGGAAGTTAGCATAGCAATAAGGAAGAGAAAGGAAAAGGGAAGAATTCAAATAAAAATATACAGAAAAAGGAAAATTATGATTGGAAAAAAGAAATAAATCACGAAAAAGAATACCATAATAGAAAGAAGGAAAGACAAAAAAGAAAGAAAGAAAGAAAAGAAAAGATAAGAAAGAAAGAAAGAAAGACAAAAAAGAAAGAAAGTGAAAGAAATAAAGACAGAAAGACAAATAAGAAAGAAAGAAAGAAAGAAAGAAAAAAGAAAGAAAGAAAGGAAGAAAAGGTGAAAAGAAAAGGTAAGAAAGAAAGAAGGATGAAAGAAAGAAAGGAGTAATAAAAAAAAGAAAGAAAGAATTGAGGAAGAAATAAAAAAGAAAGAAAGAAAAAAAGAAAGGAGAAATAAAAGAAAGAAAGAAAGACAAAAAAGAAAGAAAAAGAAAGAAAGAAAGAAAGACAGAAAAACTAAAAAGAAAGAAAGAAAGAAAGAAAAAGTGAAAAGAAAAGGTAAGAAAGAAAGAAAGAAGGATGAAAGA